CGGGGTTCTCCTGGGGCTGGCTTGGGGTCCCTGTTGGGCTATATTGGGCCAATCGTTGGCTGTACTGTGACCCTATTGTGCCGTCGTTGGGCCCTCTTGTTGGTGTCCTGGGCTGTCCTGGATGGATGCTATAGGAAGCCCTCGATGAGCTCTTTTGGCATGCCAGTGGCTCCTCCGAGGCCTCCTGGGACCATCTTGAGTAGAGAAACACCCTGCGGAACTGGTTAACTTGTTAAATGAGTTTGGCCTTCCTATTGGGCCTCCTGGCCCCTGGCCTTCTCTTTTTTATGTCTTGGAGGGCTCTTGGTGTCACGTTGGCGGCTCGTGGGGTCTTCGTGGGAGTCGTCGGGTGCCGTTCAGGTCATGCTGGCCATTTGGGCAGCCTTTGTGGCCTTCCTGTGCCGCTTGGAGGCCGTGGAGAGTTTTCCAGAGCCTCAGGGGTGCGCCAGGGCGGCCCAGGCAGCCTCGGGAGAGTGGAGGGCTCTGAGGAGTTGTTCAGAAACCCTACCAGGCAGGCTGCGTGCCAGCAGCACGGTGGCGGATGATCTTCACCCCTTCGCGCGGCTCTTGCTCCGTCCATACTGTCTCCCCCAGGCGCACACCTGCGCTTGCGCAGCGGCGGCACTCCCGCACAGAGTCGACATGGTTGAGGGTGCAGGTTTGGAGCGCACGCGGGCGCGCCATGCTCTGTGTGCTCGCCGTGGTGAGTTGCTTGCGTCGACGGCAAGCGCCCAGAGGTCCGATCGGTTTCAGAAGTAAGGCTCCTAATCTTAAGCCGTGCTTGTCCCTCTACAGGAGGGATATTCAAAAATAGTCAAACAAACAGTCAGGAGACGAGTTTTGAGCAGTTTTGAGTATTTGTTTCGTTGTTATTTGACTATTTTCATTCGTCCAAAATCCGCCTGTAGGAGGTCACGCCCGACCTAACCCCAATGCTCCGGCTCCCTGTGCCGCACTGCCTCCCTTGATATGTGGAGTGTGGCGAGGGCAGAAGGCGGCGAGGGCCTCGCCAGGCCCGGCCCCATCGCATGCCGAAGTCGCACCGTGTCAGCTCAGGTGCGTGCGCGAGGGCACGCTCAGTGCAGACAGCTCGTGATGGCTGCTTCAAGAAGAGCGCACTGGGCAACTGAACCAGCATCTTCTAGGGGGCGTGACGGGCAATTCACCAGGAAGAGACAGTGCAGCGTGGTCATCTGGGCTACGATGGCCAGCAGCGACCAACATTTGAGCAAAACGCTACTCTCCGTGCTGCAGACACATTGAAGCGACATTCACTTGCAGTGGTAGCTGAGACGATGGTGCTAAGACTCTTCGAGGCGGTTCCTCGAACTGTGGGAGGCTTGACGACGAGCTGCGACGAGCTGATAAAGCGGGCACACGTTTCGCCCGGTTGGGGTAGCCATCCTGAAGTGCAGCGTATTTCACGATCTTCCTCGCTTGTTTCTTCATTTACGTTGAAACGTATACGCGCACGCATACATGATTCCATTGTGCATGCGGGCATTTGGGTCGCTGCTTGGACGGGGGCGGTACGGCCCTGCATAATGCAGCATCGGCTTTCACCCTTATCGATTGGGATTGCGGATCTGCTTCGCTTTGTTGTTTGAGTTGGCTCGTGATGCGAACAGCACACGCGCGAGCTAACAGGGCCGAGATCGAACCGTGTGGATGTCGCGATGTCACGATCGAAGAAGTAGACATGCAGCCACTATGCTAGCAACCTGGCCATGTGGGAGGACGACCAGTTCATCATGAACAAATGCTCCCTGCGACGAGGGCATCCAGAACGTTTTTTTCAGGGGGAATTCGTCCAGGTGAAGTTGGCCGGATCAATTCATGCGGATGAATTCGTCTGTGGATGATCTCGTCTCTGGATGGATTCGTCTTCGGATCGATTCGTCTTCGGATGAGTTTGTCCGGAAGAAGGTGTCCAGACGAACTCGTCCGGACAAATTCGTCTCGGAGGAGCTCCTCTGGATGAAGCGGTTTCGGATGCAACGTTAGGCTTTCCCCTGGCCATCGGAGCCAATGCAGAACACAGCTCTGGTTCGACGTCACCATGTACGTTGCCCCCCCAAGGGGCGACGCGCGCACCGAGAAATCTCATAGCATATGCGTCGTGGCGTGCGCTTTCGGGCCGCACCGCTCGGGAAACGATCGACTGCAAGATGATTATACGATATGTTCGGGTCGGACGCGCGCCTCCGAGGAGGACATCTAGTACTAGCATTCAGTCGGGCGTGTCCCTCTACAGGAGGAATCTCAAAAAATAGTCTGGGGAGGATTTTTTACTGCTTCTGAATATGTTTGACTACTTTCTGAATTGTTCCTCCAATGTCCGCCTGCAGGGTGACATGCCCGACCTAATACCTAATACTGGCGTGTCCTTGTGCGTCCCACTGGTGGTGGTCTTCCCCGTGTGGCTCCTGGCACGGGCGGCGACTGGGCTGCGGGGGTCGGGAAGCGAAGGAGGCCGCGGCGGCGCCGGTCGCTGCAGCTCGCGCCCCAGCCGCAGGCTGGCGCGGGCGAGCGGGCTGCCCTCTCGCGCGGGGAAGGGGGAAGGGGCGTGGTGTGGGGATGGGTGTGGTGCCGGTGCTGGATCTTGCGAGGTTCTCGATCGTAGACAGCATCGCCATTTCCACGACTGGCACCACACCCTTTTATGCCACACCCCTTTCCTACCTCCAGACTCGCGCGGGAGGGGAGGAGCAGCATGAGCAGGAGGCGAGGGAGAAGGAAGAGGAAGGTTTCGGGGGTGGACAGAAACCCCCACCCTGGCACGTGGACTAGTGAATTGTCCGTTTTCGGTTTTCGATGGGGGCGCCGCGGCCGTCGTTTTCCAGGCTTGCGCCCGCCAGGTTTGGGCCCGAGGTCGTTTTCACCAAACCACGTTTTACTAAAGGGGGTCCTGTCCATCCCCGAAGGTTGGAAGGAATACGGAGGAACGTTGGAGAAAAGGGTGATGTGATGAGGAGGGCAGGGCGGAGGAGGCGGGCGGAGGAGGAGAGGTGGACGAGGAAGAGGGATGAGAAGGAGAGCGAGGAAGGAAGGAAAGAGGAAGGAAGGAAAGAGGAAGAGGGGGGTGGAGGAGGAAAAGGAGGGTGGAAGAGGAAGGGGGAAGAAGGGCGACAGTAAGGATAAAGGGGATATGGGGGACGGGGGGGAGAGGTAGGGGGAGGGCAAGAGCGCCGAGCTCCCCCAGCTCATTGGCGCTTGTGCAGCTGCAGCGCCCTTTACCAGCCGCCACCTGCTGGCCGCACCGCCCCCGCCCAGCGGATCCGCCCGTGGTGGCATCACCCGCCCTGCAGCGCCAAGAGAGCCCAGGATCTCGCACCCCGGGGGCCCCCCCGCCCGCCGCCCCTCCCCGCCCGCCTCGGGCACACCGCCGAGGGGGGTCGCCGCTGGGCACCACCGGGGACTCCGCCAGCTGCGCCAGCTCCTCCAGCCTCTGGACTCCGAGGAGAGCAGGATGCCGACACCTCTGCCCCCTCGCCCGTTTTCCCCTCTTTCGTCTTCCGCGGAAATCCCCCGTCGCCACCGCCGGATTCGCTTCGAAATTGTGGCCAGAGCGCACCCTAGGAGAGGTCCGGGCAGTAGCGGTATCGGGTTTTCCCATGGACGGCATCGGGCGTGCCCAGAGCGTCCCAGGCATCCTGGGCGGGGGGGAGTTCCTGACGGCGCCATCCTCGAGGAGGTGGCGGCCCCCCCCCCCACCACGGGCCAGCCCGCTCCCCCCCCCCGTCTCTTGCGCTGCCCGGCCGCCCGGAGGCACGGTAGGGGCCGCCACCCGCGCCACGGAGGACGGCCAGCCCGCGGGGCTGCCAGGGGTTCCCGGGCTCGGGTGGGGCCTTCGCCTTCCCCCCCCGTGCCTCCTCCTGCTCCCCCTTCTCTGCTTCCTGCTTTCCCCGCTCCTCCTCCTGCTCCTCCTTTTCCTGCTCCGCCTGGAGATATTTCATCCTCTAAGTCGCCATCGCCGTCGTGCTGACGACGACTGCGACGAAGAGGAGGAGACAGAGGAGGAGGAGGAGGAGGAGGAGGAGGCGGGTATTGACATCGTCGTCCCCCCTCCTTCTCGACACGGCAAGATGTCGGGTTCTCTGGACGCTCTGGATGCCCCCAGGTTGTGGCGTGTTCTTTGTGTGGATTGGCCTTGGGACGCGCTCCATTAGGTGCTCCTCGCCGAAAGCTTCTCAGCGCGCTCTGGGGGATACAGACGGCGGCCCGGAGTGACCCCGCAAATTCAGGTCACCGATTCTTGAGGAACCGCGTCGTGCATTCCGACGTATTCGATGTCTGATGTCTTGAGAGCCAGGTCTCAACGGACCGACCTTCTGGCACCGTCATTTCGGCAGTCGACTGCAGGGCCCGAGTCCGGGTGGCGCGTGGCCCTGGGGAACCAGGTCAGATGACAGTCCCATGCGTTGGCCAGCTCACCGGCCCAGCCCGTGCATTTGCAACTGCACCCGGAGTTTCAGACTTGCTGGTAGATCCATGTCCATGCGCGAAGATACGACGTGTCGTGCAGTGTTGTAGCTATTGGACATGACTTGGCTCGAGTGCACGAGTCACGTCTAGTGTGTCACCGACCCGTGGGGCCGTGCCATCGCTTCACGTGCTCACACCAACATACCTTCATGCCACCGTACGGCCAGATGGCACACGTTGGCGTGCAAGCTCCTTGCTTCAAGGACGGAAAAACTACCTGGACCCGAGAATCGGCGCTTACCAAACGGCCCTGGGCGTTTACTGAACAGGCCTGCCCTATTCGATTCCTTCTTCGGGTGCGTTCACGAAGCGACTGCGCGTGTCGGGGCGATTGTTATCAGGGTGGATGTTCTGCTCTCCACTACTGTCCGGCTGCCTGCGCCAGGTCCCGCTACCGTGCCAGCCCAGTGCTCTCGGAGGCGCCTGCTCGAGGGGCGACAGGTCGCTTCCGCTAAACCACGTTCTGTGCAATCGGGTTCTGCCCATCCCCGAGATGTCCGGCTGCCTGCGCCGAG